GTCCTAGAATCAGTTATTTCTCCATCTAGTAGAGAATACTATTTAGATACAAGATCTAGGAGCTAGGTAGGCTCATTGCTACTTGGCTGTCATCTCCAGATGATATTAGAAAACAAAACTAGGAAATATACATACACACATTTATGCTTATTTCTATATCTACCAATCTATCTCTGTAATAAACTAAATATTTCTGACTCTAATTTTGTTCTTTCCAGCCTCCCCCACTTTCTCTTCAACTTCTTTTCCTCTAGTGCTAGCTCAATGACAGTTTTTACCATGAATCTGTATTGGATTTTGTCATTTGCCTTTTTGGCAGCAAGCGATATGATCACGTTTAATTTTCTTTATTAGCAAATTAATATGGTTGATTACATCGATTGATTTTCAAATGTTGGCTTAGCCTTGCATGCCTGGAATAATTGCCACTTAGTCATTGTGTATAATTCTTTTATACACTGATGGATTTGGTTTGGTAATGTTTTGCTGAGGATTTTTGTATCTATGTTCATGAGAAATGTTTGCTTGTAGCTTTCCTTAGTAGTAAAGCATTTATCTTATCTGGTGTTAGGATTTGGGTACTCTCTATGCTTTGGCTTTTTTTGGTCATTTTCTTAGTAAAATAATTATTATAAATTATATTTACATTTTGCTGGATTTGGAAACCTGCTGATAAGTAAGTAGGCCAAGATGTGAGTAAGGAGGGGGAAAAAAAGCATGTCAGCCTTTCCCATATTTAAGACATAAAATCTGTAATTTAAGATTCTTGACGATTGGGGGCACCTGGGTGGTTTAGTGGGTTAAGCCTCTGCCTTTAGCTCAGGTCATGGTCTCAGGGTCCTGGGATCAAGGCCCACATCATCAGCCTCTTTGCTCAAGAGGGAACCTGCTCCGCCCTGCTCCCTGCCCACCGCCCCGTCTCTGCCTGCCTTTCTGCCTACTTGTGATCTCACTCTCTCTGTCAAATGAATAAATTTTTAAAAATCTTAAAAAAAAAAAGATTCTTGATGGTTGCAATGTTGTGTCAAGGAGTCTAGTCATGCCCATTTGGGAATTAAAAGTTGAAACAATACAACTCAGGACTTTGAGCAAAAGTGGTAGTGGCAGTCTGCTTTTCATGGTTAGACTCCCTCCGCTGTCACCACCCCTGCCTATCACATAGATGTGGGTGATAATTTGGGGGAGAGAGGCGATCTTGGGTGTACACAACAGAAATCAACTCTGGCTAATTTAAGTGGAAAAGAAATTTATTAGAAGAATAAAGGAGTGCTCACAAAACTGAAGAGAAAATGGGATGATTTAGGCTAAGAAAATTGGTGTTAAACAAAGAAAGCCAGAAGGCAGGAACCACAGACAAGACAAAATCTCTGGAACAGGTTTGTTAAGACAGTACCTCTGGCATATCCACCATTTCTGACTTGGACACTATCACTGACAGTTCCCTCTACCGCAACCGTTGGACCCTTGCTAATGTCATATGCCATAACACCTACTGCAAATAAATTCTAACTATCCTAACTTCTGTAAGAATTCATTGGATCCCTTTGGCTGAAATATGTTCTTTTGCTGCTTGCTGAGCTGGGAGCGTGGTAAGCATAATAGTAATTACTGCTCCCAAATACAACACTTCCTAGTACATTGACCATGTTTTTTGTTCAGTCCCTGGGTGGTTCTGCTTAGTCTGGAAGTCAGGGGCCCAACCAAATATGCTAAATATGCTACATAGGAATTCTTATTTTGCTGCTTTGTCAATTTAAGCAGCTTGTATTTGAATTCTTATTTTCTCACTTGAATTCTTACTTCTCAGTTTGCTAATTATAAACATACACCTCCCACACTAGGTTGGGTCTCTGGAATTGAGTCATGGTGACTCCTAAAGGCCCCTCGGGGATAAATTATTTCTTTTAGAGACAGTGGGCACTTTCAGAAATGAATGGAGGCCCTCTCACAAAAAAGTAAGACTTTGCAATTATTTTTTACAATGTTTGGTAAGAGTTTACTGTATACTAGATTTGTTTTAAAAGCATATAAATGTTAATTTATTTGTTTCTCGTAACAATGGTACAAAGCAGGCACTCTCACTGTCTTCATTTTACTAATGAGGGAACTGAAGTGCAGAGGGGTTATATAACCTGTAACCTTCTTCACATGAATTTCAGGAGGTCGTGTGGCAGTGGGATAACACAACTTCCACAATGCTCCAGCCTGGTTTTCATGACCTCTCTCATGATTCTGTCTCACTGCCATTGGGAAAGTTAATGCTGAATCTCTTCTGAAGATATCTGTACTGTCAAGAAGAAATAATCCCAAGATATGTAAATACATCAATGCTATGCCTTAACAAACTGAAATGGGTCTCTGATTGTTTCTTCCCAATGTAAACGGACTCAGAGGCTATGGTCTCTCTCTTAGGTAGCTATTCCACGGAGAATTTCATGTATGTATAAATCCCTCTGGTTCCCCATCATTAGCTTCTAACATCCCAACGTGACTCTATTTGACATCACTTTGGAGGGACCAGTCTGTATGTCAAAGGCTCTTTGGTGTTCTTTTTGTGAATCTTCATGTAAAAGGTTGTCCATTTTACTAAGTGACCTTATTTCACAGACTTAGTACTCTGAGCCTGTGAAATGAGCAGGGATAAAAATCCCAAGCTATAATGTCGTCCATGGTGGGTAGGATGATTCTTTCTTGGAATGGTTCAACACTTTACAGAGTCCATTCGGAAACTTTCTCCTGTTTTTCCTCATGGCAGCATCTCTGAGTGACAGGTTGGAGAATGTTTTATAATACCCATTGAGTAATTACCTTTTCTTTGTATCTCCCCTCCTCTAGAGAACCTCAAGCTTTGTGACCAGACATTAAGCAAGGAGATCAATGGGACACTTTTTTTCTTTTTGAGTGGCACTAGCAATTTGAAGATCATAAATGAAATTGTGTCACCTTCCTTGAAGGGCAAGGTAAATATATAGCTCAGTTTTCTGTTCTGTAGTATCAGAAGATGTGCTATGCGAAGTTACAAGGGCAACACCTTCCCATGGATTTTTCAGAGTTTAATATCCCAGGTTTTAATATTCTCATGCTTCCAGACTGCTCAGCTAGAGTTCAGATGTTACAGCAACCTTTATTGATTAGGAAAATGGTGATTTTTCTCAAATAATAGAGATAGTATTTTCTCATCATTTAACATCCCTGCACTTAGGAGAGCACTTAAAAACTGGTGAGGACTCCGTCCATGTTTATTGAGGTAATGAGTGAACAGATGAATAAATGAATACATGAATGAATGAGTGAATCTCTGAATGATTTGTTTATTGAGCCTGTTAATGAAGCACATTCTGAAGTGTCTGGTCCTGTGCTATTAAAGCATAGTCTCATGTATGACTTAGCACAGGCTTTGCAGAAGCTCTCTATCAAAGGTTGTAGACTTCTGTGAATAAGTAGCAGTAATGCCTGGCTACCCATTACTGCTTGTATTATTGTTTTTTTTCCAAGATCTGTTTATTTATTTTGAGAGAGTGAGAAAGAGCACAAGTGAGCAGCAGTAAGGAAGAGCAGAGGGAGAGGGAAAGAGAATCTTAAGCAGACTCCATGCTGAGCATGGAGCCTGGTACAGGGCTTGGGCTCATGATCCCAAGAGCATGACCCTGAGATCACAACCCTGAGATCATGACCTGAGCTGAAATCAAGAGTCTGACGCTCAACTGACTGAGCCACCCAGATGCTCTGCTAATATTATTATTGTTAGCATTAAAAAGACATGGCCTATGGGACAGATTTATCAACTACTTGAAAAGACAAAACTTTGGCATCTTCAATATCTACTCCTTGGTTCCCACCATCTTTCAGCTCCCGTATCTGCATCTCACCTCAGACTTTCTCTTCTTATGTTTTCCAGTGACCCACTGCAGGACTCAGTTCTTACCACACATGGCCTAAGTGATGGCCTGGCTTAGAGCAGGTACACAAGAGTTGGTGACAAGGACATTAATTTGGGCTATATTTTGAAGGTAGAGATAACAAGATATACTCATGGACTACATGTGGAGTGTGAGGGAAAGAGAGCCAGGGCTGAATAATTCTGGCATTAAGGGATTCTTTTTGGAAGACTTCATTAGGGTTAACCAGATATGTAGCCCGGATTCTGAGAATTGTGGAGGCTATTTTATGATGAGATTATACAGTTGGATGAAATAATTGGTATAACCTTCAACAGATTCCTTTTGCAGTAGTCAGGACATGAATGATGGCATCTCAACATTTGTATCTATTATCATTCCTGATGCTCAACTCCCAATTTTTTGTTGTTAATATTTTTAAAAATAGTATGCTTGTTTAAACATATTTGAATTTAAGTTATGAGGTCATTCACCCACATAAATTTCTTTAGTAGTATGGGTCCAATAATTGTGTTGGGTTTCTTTTGTTATTTTTTCCAACAACCTTATATATACTATTAATAATATTTATTTAATAATAATAAAACATGATTTATTACATGCTATTAAGCAGTATTTTGGGTGATTCAAACATATCAACTCATTAAATTCTCCAAACAGCCTTGTGAAGTACTATTATTGTCACCTGTTTTAAACTGACCCATAGAAAGACTGTGACTTGCCCAGAGTTACCAGCTTGCAAGTGGAAATGTCAGGATTTAATGCAGACAGGTCACCCAGAGACCATGATCTTCACTATAACAATATGCTGCCTTTGGAAATACCTGTGTTGTTTTCAAAGTGCCTTTTGAAATTGCTGTAAGAATCTTATAATATTGTAAAAGTAGGAAACACAGTGCCCACTTAATTTTTTCATGCAAAGAAATTAAAGCTCAGGAACATTTATGTTGCTTTTCTAAGGTGATAAAATGAAGATCACAGAAAACTTCAACCCACATAAAAAAAAGCAATAGTCATTTTGAAGATAACTGAGTGGTAATTTGGAATATCTCAGTGGGGTCAGGAACTGACAAGTATGTATGTACCCTTACACATTGAAAGATGAAGGTCAGAAGATGCCAGTCTCTGGGTTACTGGGAACCCTGTACTGGTAATGGTGTCATGATGCACTCATGACATTTGGGTCATTTTCCATGCATAAGTAATTTATCCATTTTGCCTTCTGGTTTTGACAGGTGAACCATAGTTTCAAATAGTATCTGTGGAGAACAGCACCAAGGTGAATGAGTTTAGGCTCTTGGGACTGAATGACAGCCCAGAAATGCAAGTCCCTCTTTTCATAACATTCACTTTCATTTATCTTGCTACTCTCATTGGAAATCTTGGGATGATCACGTTGATTCTGTTGGACTCTCGCCTCCACACTCCCATGTATATTTTCCTCAGTAACCTCTCTCTGGTGGACTGTGCTTACTCCTCGGCTGTTTCTCCCAAGGTGATGGCTGGGTTTCTCACAGGGGATAAAGTCATCTCCTATGGTGGATGTGTTGCTCAGATGTTCTTCTTTGTGGCTTTTGCCAGTGTAGACTGTTTCCTGTTAGCTGCCATGGCTTATGATCGGCATGCTGCAGTATGTAAACCCTTACATTATACCACTTCTATGACCACGAGCTTGTGTGCTCAAATGGCAGTAGGCTGCTGTGCCTGGGGCTTTGTTGAATCTGTTATCCACACTGGATTCACCTTCTGCCTCTCCTTCTGCCATTCCAATGTGGTCCATCATTTTTTCTGTGATATCCCCCCAATTCTGGCTCTCTCCTGCTCTGATATCTATATAAGTGAGATTGTACTCTTTATATTAGCAGCTTTCAATGTCTGTTTTGCCCTTATAGTTATCTTGACCTCCTATCTGTTCATCTTCGTTGCCATCCGGAGGATGCGCTCAGCTGAGGGAAGGAAGAAAGCCTTCTCTACCTGTGCTTCACACTTCACTGTTGTAACCATCTTCTACGGGACTGTCATGTTCATGTACTTACAACCCAATTCTAGTCATTCTATGGACAATGATCAAATGGCATCTCTGTTCTATACAATAATAGTCCCCATGTTGAACCCCATTGTCTATAGTCTGAGGAATAAAGAGTTGAATAATGTTTTCAGGAAAACCGCTAAGAAACTGAAGATTCTGTTCAACCCATAGATCAATTAGAGACATTATAAAAGCTGTATAGTTAATCAGTTATCTATTGTTGTGTAGCAAAATATCACAATTCCAAAAACAACAGTTTATTATTTCTCATAATTCCGTGGTTGGCGGGATAGCTCCTTTGCTGTTTTCATATGGGCTCACTCATGAGGTTGCATGTCTTCTGCATGGTCAGCTGGGCTGAAGGGTTCAAATTTCTAACTCATATTTCTATTCACATTTCTAACTGTTGAATTTGGTTGCTGTCCATCTCTTTTCCAGATGCTCTTCCATCCTCCAGAGGATGGACCAACTTTGTTACATGTTTTCAGTGTGAAAGTAAAACTGAATGGTTTCTTGAAGTCTAGACTCCTGACTCAAACATTTTCTCTACCACATTATACTAATCATTGGTGTCAAAGAGTTGGCCCCAATGTAAGCATGAAGAAAGGCTCCACCTCTTGAGGGAAACAGCTGCAAAGAATTTGTGCCCATAGTTTATCTCCCACAATTAGAAATTAGATTAAATTTCTGTAACAAAGAAAGCGAAAATACAGTGGCTTAAATACCATAGCAATTTATTCTCAAATATTGGAAGCGAATGTAGCAATGTGAAAATGAACTGTCTGGCTAGCCGGTGTGTCTTTGTCATTCAGGGCCATGTTCAGTCCACCTAACCTCTCTCTACCATCTCCTATGGTGGTGAGTGTTGAGCTTGTCCTCATCATTGCTCTTCTGTCTGGAGGAAAGGAGGAACAGATAAGTTGAAGGAAAAATACTGTATCTTTAAGAAAGTGATATAGTCATTGTCTGTATGACTTCTGAGTACATTCTGTTGGCAAGGATTCAGTCATAAGGCCACAAAAACAACCAGCAAAATCAACTTCAAAATTGAATCTCTGTCTAAAAGACAGGTTGCTTTGCTGAAATCTCAGTACTATGGGGAAAAAATTGTTTTCTGGGGAAAGGCAGGATACTGCCACATAGCTAGTAACTGAACCTGAGCTTCGAAGACCTGGAACTTTCTCAATAAAAGATCAGAGAGATAAATAGCCAGTGGAGGTGAGTGGCATTCTAGAAACCAAGTGATGAGAAATGCATTAAGAGGAAATGGTTGTGTCAGAGCCACTGGTAGGTTAAGCAATAGTAAGACTAAGAACTGGAAATAGGCCATAGTGATAGGAAGTTGGTGGGTGACTTTGAGTGGTTTGGGCTGGATGGTGGGAGCACAAATCTCATTAAATATATTCTCTACAATCTAGTCCATGATTATACTTTGCTTTACCGTGTTTCTAATTATTTTCCCAACATGCATTACTGATGATGCAAATGTATGTTGTCTTTTCCCAGAACAGCTAGGGGGATAGGCCTTTGAGACTTTGAACTTTGAGAAGAGAGATGGACAGAGCTTAACAATATGATAGGAATCCAAGGTTTCAGGAAATGACTGAGAAGAGATGTTTTGACAACAGATGATGCTTCATGAACCTGAGCATCAGTTATAGCAAATGCTTACTTTGCAGCAAGTCACTGTTCTTGGCTTCACTTCCCCTCCATTTTGCTGAGTACAAGATTATTGCAACAAGTTCTTTGGAAGAATGAAGGAGGGGGGAAAAGCACCTTAGGGAAAAGCAATGTAGAGACAGGAAAAGAAGAAACACAGAAGGTGGTATAGTGCTTGAAGTGATGAACAAGTGAGACAAAGACAGGGATTTGGAACAGGAACTGAGGGACAAAAAGAAAGCTTAAACACACACACATAGTCTCTACTCAAAGACACCTCAAAACCATTTAGGAAGGTACTCAGCCTCCTATAACTAGTTGTTATTTAATCAATCAGTTAAAGGAAAAAAAGCTAGAGGATTTGGGTTCTTTTGAGTTACAACTGAGAGTGAGATGGGCCCTTTGGAGAAAGAGCTGATTACTGGGTTAGGACAGGAATACCACAAGAGGAGTCTGGAGTGTCTCGTAGTTCCAGAAAGTAAGGAGGAGCTCAGAAAACAAGAGGGTTGGGTGTATCAAAAGGCAGCAAGAGTAAAACTAAAAGTGCTCCCAGTGGCCAAAGATGGAACCATTTGAACAAGAAAGTAAATAACACAGGACTACATTGTACCCCAAAGTATAAAGCAGAAAAATGTTAAGTACATGCTGATATAAACAGACAAACAAATCTCCCTTATAAAAAAATCCTTGACATTGGGGAGGGTATGTGCTATGGTGACTGTTGTGAAATGTGTAAGCCTGATGATTCACAGACCTGTACCCCTGGGGCAAATGATACATTATATGTTAATAAAAATAATTTTTTAAAATCCTAAATAATATATTTGGCCTTCTCTTAGGAGGTGGAGTATAGTCCCTTTTACCATGAGTATGGCCTGCACTTAGTGACTTATTTCTAAAATACACAGCACAGTGGGAAAAGGTAGCATTACACTGAGGCACCTGGCAAATATATCTGGTTTAGGTGATTAAGGTTAAGATCCCCAGTGACGAGTCATGTTGGTAATATGTGTCTCCTGATCAGATGTGATAAAAACAGCACTTCTCTCTTTCAATAATAAACCTTTGTGTAGTCATGACCAACAAAATCAGGCAAATCTAAATTGAAATACCTTCTACCTGAGCAGTAACCCTCAAAGCTATTAAGATAGTGAAAATCCAGGAAAGCCCGAGACACTGTCACAGATCAGAGAAGACTAAGGAGACAGGACAATATATACAGGGTTGGATCCTGGACTGGACCCTATAAGAGCAAAATGACATAAGTCAAAAATAATAATCTGAATGAGTTCTTGAAGTTTAGAGACCAGTAGTGTATCAATGTTGGTTTCTTTGTTTTGACTAGTGTATTATGATAAAGTAAGATGTTAACACTAGGGGAAGTTGGGTGAGAGGTATGTAGGGCTTGTCTATAATATCTCAGAAAATATTTTGAAAATCTGAAATTATTTTCAAAATTAAAGACACATTACCTGGTGCTCACCAGCCCCTCCAACCTCAAGAGAGTTCAGCAGCTCCCTAGTTCTTTGTTGGTGGTATAGTTTGGCTCTCTCATATGCTAATTACTCCTTTAAAAGGAATTTTTTTTCTTCCCTGAGCCCAGGCATCCAGGGTTGGTGTGGGTTCAGGTACTACTGAGGGATAGATCTGCTGTGGCATCAGGATCTTGCTCCCTTTGGTGCTCTCAGCAGGGAGGAGGATTGTGAACTCTTGTACTCACCAGACCTCTGACCAAGAGTTCTGGTAGCTTCCCTGCTTTGGCAGGGCACTAAAGCTAGAACTTTTATATTCTAGTTGCTCTTGTAAACCAAGTCTATTTTTTATGCCCCATGGCTAATAAATCTGCTCCTGGTCCTCCCCAACACTCCACTGCAGTTCTAAGCATTGTGGGTGAAGCCTCCCTTATTTCCCATATGTCTAATAATTCTACTACTAGTTATTGCCCAAATAAATGAAAACACTAATTATAAAATATGCTAATTACACTAATGCTAATTATGCAAATAACATTAATTAGAATATATGCACCCCTATGTTAACTGCAGCATTATTTACAATAACCAAGATATGGAAGTACCCCAAGTGTCCATCTGTAGAAGAATGGATGAAGAAGGTGTTGTATATATACATACAATGGAGTATTACTCCTCCATAAGAAAAGATGAGATCTTGCCACTTGTGACAACACAGGGTATTATGTTAAGTGAAATAAGTTGGAGAAAGACAAATACCATATGATTTCTCTTATATGTGGAATCTAAAGAACAAAACAAATCATCAACAAACAAAAGCTGAATCAGACATATAAATACAAAGAACAATTGATGCTTGCTAGAGGGAAAAGGCTTTGGGGGATGGGCAAATGGTTGAAGGGGAGTGGGAGACACAGGCTTTCAGTTACGGAATGAATAAATCATGAGAATAAAAGGTACAGTATGGAGAATGTAGGCAATGATATTGTAATAGCATGGCATGCTGCTGGAAGGGAGCTACACTTGTGAGCATGGCATAACAAATAGTGGTTGAATCACTAATGTTGTACACCTAAAACTAATGTGACAATGAATATCAACTATGCTTAAATGAAATAAAGCAAAAGAAAAAAAATTATTTCAAATAACAGTTAAGAAATGGTTCCAGAAGAGAAACCACCATTTTCACAGACTTTAGGACCAGATACTTGTGTGATACCACTCTATCCCCACTAATACCAGCATGACCCTCTCAGGACATTCAAGCACAGTTTTGCAAGTCTTCAGAAGTTAAGTACTTCTAATTTTATAAAGATAGGAAAAGAACACATGGATAAAAATTCCTTTGGGTACCTTTATAATAAAATTGAGCTCAACTGAACATCAAATAAAATACAGAGTTATTAGCACATTGAGGTAGTTTACATTTAATGTGGTAAAACATTATCTTACATTGCTTGTTATCTTGCTTACATTTTCAGTGGGTATTTGAAATAACTGGAAATAGATGAATAATCATTATTTATTAAAGAATTTTGTAAATTGAATCAGGAAATCTGTAGTCCCATTTTTGGCTGTTAATGATGTACTAAACAGAATTTATTTCATGTATTATTTTTCATCTAATGAGAGGTTCCTAATAGAAAAGAGTTAAGATGGTTTGATATGATCCACTTGATAGTGTAATTTCCAAAAATTAATTTGTCCAAAAGTGGGAAATTCAGATACAAATGAAAGAATATAGAAAAAAACCAACCATGTCTCATGAAATGTTCTAGAATTCTTTTGTAAAGAATATTATAATGGATAATTGGTATATTTATCAGTGTTCAAGTATATTTGCTGCTGGACTCAAACAATTAGTTTATTCATTAACTAGTGTTTGTTGAGGAATTAGTACAAACCAGACCATAATTTAGTTATTGGGGATACAGTTGTTAGTAAAGTAGACAAAGCCACTCTTTTTGTGCAGTGTATATTCTAGGTAGATAGGTAAATGAATAAACAAGCTAACAAATAAATAGAAAGAGTTGAGGAGTA